ATTCGTATTAAACATTTTAAAGAACATTTTACTCCTAACAACAACCATAATAGCCCTATTTCTCGTATCAAACATAAGCTAAAAGAACTCGCCAAACAATTTGTTTTTGTCCCGGCTGATAAGGCTGCTAACAATATCATTATTGTTTGACGTAAATTTTACATTGAGGTTCTGCAAAAGGAAATCACGAATTCACCAACATTCAAACTGACTCCATTTGCGGAAAATTACATCTGTAACAAACATAAACTTTTAGCTACTTCTTTACAAGCAGAACCAAATACAATGAAAGTTCCAACTATGTACTGGCTTCCCAAGCTGCGCAAAACACCTTACAAATATAGATTTATTTCGTCTTCAAGCCATTGTTCCACTACTAAACTGTCTATTTTACTTACTAGTACACTTGGTACAATCAAAAATCTGGTAAAAAAATGTTCAAATAAGGTCTTTGAAAATAGTGGAATTAATTACTTTTAGAGTGTTAAAAATTTGTTGGAATTACTTGATAAATTGCATGCTTGTATTGGTGATTTCGAATCTGTTCAAAGTTTTGATTTTTCTACCCTATATACCACTTTACCTCATAATCTTATTAAGAAAAAATTCACAAACCTAATTAAACAGGCATTTAAAAAGTCAGAATGCGAGTATATATGTTCTAACTCTTTTTGGTCATTTTTTGTAACAACAGACAAAAGAACTATGTCAATTGTACCTGCTTTGATACGATTACTGCCCTTGAATTTTTACTAGATAACATTTTTGTTCGCTATGGAGATTCCGTATATCGTCCAATGGAGACTAACTCTGCACCACTTATTGCGGACCTATTTCTGTATTGTTACAATGTATGACTAAAATCAGCAAAGACCCATCGAAACAACATCTGATACAAACATTTAATAACACTTTTAGATATTTGGATGATATATATTTGCTCTCAATAATGACGACTTCAGTATGTACACTAAAGATATTTATCGTGCTGAGCTGAATTTAAATAAAGCTAATACTAACAATGAACACTCACCTTTCCTGGATCTTGATATCTATATTTTTAACGGGAAGCTTAATACCAAAATTTATTATAAAAGAGATGATTTTTCATTTCCTATTGTTAATTATCCATTTTTAGATGGTGACGTTCCCTTGTAACCATCTTATGGTGTTTATTTATCTCAACTTGTTCGATTCGCTCGTGTATGTAACAACGTATTTGATTTTAACGAAAGAAACCTCTGTATTACTGAAAAAATTTTACACCAGGGTTTTCGATATCACAAACTAGTCAAAACATTTACTAAATTTTATCATCGGTACAAGGACATCATTCGTAAATATAAATCAACATGCAGACATCTTATACGTTCAGGTATTTCACATCCAGTCTTTTATGGTAATATTCTATATAAAGCATAAAAATGTCGACATTCAACTCAAAAGCTAACCAAACCTTTAAACAGACTTATTCAGAAGGGATATAGTTACGATACTGTTGTCAGGTCATTTAAGATGGGATATAGTTACGATACTGTTGTCAGGTCATTTAAGATGACATAGTTAGATAATACTATTAATTATCTAATTACTACCACATTTTATATTAATTAGTATTGTAATTTTCATTGTTATTAATTAATGTTATATGACTATATAAACCAAATCTTGAATTCTATCCTTATTCTATCCTATTTTGGGGAAATTTCAGAAATTCAAATGTGACGTCACTTTGTTTGCGTTGATCTCTTTGGCTAACTCGGCTGTGAATTTTTATGCTCTGGTTTATGTTGTTTTATGTATCCGTTTTTATTCTGTAGTTATGCACCACTTCGGTGTTATCATGCATATCTATTATATAGTTATTTTTATACATTTACTGTTTGCAAAAGTATAAATTATTCTAAATACTAAGGATTTTCTTATCCCAGACATATAACCTTAGCCGTATTTGGCACAACTTTTTGGAACTTTTGGTCATCAATGCTCTTCAACTTTGTACTTGTTTTGGTTTTCGAACTTTTTTGATCTGAGCGTCACTGGTTAGTCTTGTGTGGACGAAACGCGCGTTTTGCGTATTAAATTTTAAACCTGGTACCTTTTGTTAGATATTATCCGTATGTTTCTCTGTCCTATATGATCTCCCATTTATTTGTATTGTAGTCCTGTCATGTAATGTTGTCATTTTAATGTCATATTTGACATTGCCATAAAAGCGGGAGGTTTGGCTAGCCACAAAACCAGGTTCAACCTACCATTTTGTTTCTTAAAATTTCGAAAATGGCCATTGTTATTTTATAGTTATTTTTTGTGTGTCTTACATTTTAATGTTGTGTTTCTGTTATGTCGTAGTTCTCCTCTTATATTTGATGTGTTTCCCTCAGTTTTAGTTTGTAACCCGGATTTGTTTTTTTCTCAATCGATTGATGAATTTCGAACAGCGGTATACTACTTTTGCCTTTATTTGGTATTAATATTGATTCACTCATAGGGTCTTTGCATCGGAAATAAACACATTTATTCTAAAACCAGTTGTTGGCATGATACGGGCTATGTTCTTCTCATATATTTTATGATGGTATGACATTAAACCCCTAACGGGATGGATTGTGCTTGATTTTCATATGACGAAGACATAATCTTTCAATCAGTTTAATTAAGGTCTGGAGCTGGCATGTCAGTAACTGCTTGTAGTCCTTTGTTAGTTTATGTATCGTTGTCATTTTACTTAGTTTCTTTTGTTACCTATTCTGACAACTGACTCGGACTTCTTTTAAACTGAGTTTAACTGTGCGTATTGCTGTGTGTTTGTTTATTCTACATTGGCTAGAGGTATAGGGGAGGGGGAGATCTCACAAAACATGTTTAACCCTGCCGCATTTTTCCCACGTCAGGAGCCTCTTGTTAGTCTTGTGTGTTTTTTAATTTTAGTTCATTAATATGTTTTGGAGTTTAGTGTGACGTCCATTTTCATTGAACTAGTACACATTTTTGTTTAGGGGCCAGCTGAAGCCCGCCTACGGGTGCGGGATTTTTCTCGCTGTGTTGAAGACCCATTGGTGGCCTTCGGCTGTTATCTGCTCTTTGGCACATTCCCCATTTCCATTCTCAATTTTACAAAAGTGGTTAAACTATGGCAAAACTTAATAAAAAAGTGGAAGGCTTTCTCTTCCTTTTAATTGCAGAAACAACAAAATAAGAGCAACATGAGTTACCAGAAAATTCGATGCTTCCACGGACTTCTTGTTGACCTTCAATAATTTGCGAAAATTGTGCATCTTCATTAGGGACTTTTTAAAATTAGTATTGTACTTATTTTTAGACTCTCACTGATAAACCGGATGGCCATAGGTTGTCATTACTGCATTGCTAAACTAATTATTATTCTATTGAAATCATATGTTATGCAATATTTGTCCATGAATGTAATATTATTCACTTTAAACTTGGAAAAGATTTCTTTTAAAAACGTGTATAACAAATAGTTTAATTATAAGCATTCTTATTGTCAAATTATTTCTATTCATTATGTAAGAATTACTTAGTACAAACACATTTGTACTCTGTCATCCATTATCTTCTTTTGTTAATCTTTAAGTGCTAATTGTGTGTTTTTAATTGTTAATCAATTAACTCGTTTCTATTATGAAATTCTGACCTAACAAAAGTCTTTTTTGTTTTTATTCAACAACAATATTGCACACGCTGTTAACAAAATTCTTTATTTAAATATGTTTCTTAAGTCCTTGTTTCAGTGAGAGTCATGAAACGAAGCCGGGGTACTGTCTATGAACCCTTAACAGGACTTTTTATCTATTAGACAGCAACCCAACAACATTTCTTTTAGTTTAAATATAGGGTAGGGTTCGGTCCATGCTTTCGCTTTAGGACTTTACAAATATAATAATGCCCGTCTTTAGAATATTTTAACTTTTTATAGGTATATAATTCACCGGTTTATGCCACCAGTTTATAAATGTTTTAAACCTGTGTGATCAAGATATAATATATCTGATGGTTATTATACCCAGACCTCCACTGTCATAAGTAGCTTCTAGGACCTTATTCAAACAGTTGATAAATAGTGACTAGTCTGCTCTTATGACTAACTAGATGCTAACCTTTAACTTTGACTACAGTACAGTCAGACTTTCATAGAATCCGGCTGTTTAAACCAGAATGTGAACAAGTCTGGTTCACGTCTATCACGAGAAAGGATATGACCTGGCGGTGTACTAATAAAAAGTTGTCGATGGTATTCAATGAATTTACAGGAGGATTCACAAATTCATGTGTTCTGGCAGAAGTTCAGTAAATTACTTATCTCATCAGTATCATACCTCAAGCATCAAGCTGCATCTCGAATGTAATATTTCTCAGTATATTTAATATTAACCCAATTATGAAGAACAATCTCAATCCAACTCTGAAGTCAATTTCAGAGTGACCGCTACTATATGTGATTAAGTCTGGGGTCAAACAATGAATAAAGGTTCAACAGACAAACAAAATGTAGCCCGACCTGATAAGAGTGGTCGTTTCAAGCACGGGACAACAAACGTAAAGTCAGATTTTTCGAAAACTAATTCTCAGTTTCAATAGATATAAGAAGATGCGATATGAGTGCCAATGAGACAACTCTCCATCCAAGTGACAATATGTAAAAATAAACCATTACATCAAGACCAGTAAATTAACAAGAATACCAAATATTCAAATAATAATAAGCAGCTTGTAAATCAGTGAAGGATTAACTAAAGTAGTCTTGTTCTGTCCTGAAAAATGCTTAAACGCAAACTATCTGTGACAGCAACTCAAACTGACCTACCAAAAGTTCAGAATAGACGGGTACCAAATATCAAACCATGAAAGTTGATTCAAGGGGAACGGGATATAATTAAAGCAATTTCCTGTACCAAGGGGGTAAGAAGGGGTAATTTTAATCACAAAAGTTAGCTCAGGGCAGGGACAAGGATTTTATCTGTAATAAAATAATTCAGTAAAGTACAACTTTTATTAAACAACACACAATCGTTATTAGACAATATTATTCAACTGCGTGTCAAGTATATGTATGATTTTGTAATTCAATGGTCTCTAATTCAGCAATGTCTCTTTATTTCTTGGACCACAAAGTGGTTTTACAACTATAATTTTCTCTAACGACTCATTCTGCCATTCTGCCCAGGGTTTGCATTTTAATCTCGCTTTACGTTTTAACACTTTAAGTTCAAGTCATAGATTTGAGACACGTACGAAAATGTCAACAAATAATGACCCCGAACCTTAATCTTTTTCAAGCAATCTATAAATAGCTTTAACCTCAACAACTGATGAATCTCGATATTCTCAAACTGAAAACTTTTATTCAGTTCAAAGAACTCTTCAAAACTCAGCTTAAAAATTTAACTCAATTAACCCGCGAATCGCTTTCTAAATAAACTACGTCTCAATACGTAAATATTCAAAGTCTTCGCTAAAATATTTTAAGCAAACCCTGACCTAAACTAGCCAGTTTTAGTCAATTCAAAATATACATCAAATTGGAGGGGGGAATTCTTACCTAGAAAATGTCGAAATACACGTTATCTTAAATACCCTTGATAAAACACAAAAACAGCGCCGAGACCACTTCAAGAAAATCGCGCACATGGTGGAAAGTTCCCTTTTTACCTATACGTCCACACCTGAGCATCTGAGCTGTGAATGATTTCCGGAAGACAATCACTGCACGAGCTAAATTTCCCCGGGAACTTATTCAAGCTCAATGATTGGTTGAGAAGGGGGAAATATTTTGAATATAATGACTAATGCGAGTTTTGTTACGTCATCAAAATTCATGAATGAAAATTTCAGAAAGTAATAAAATAATAATGATCAATCTTTCTGAGAAAACAATTAAAATTACTAATAATGAAAGAAATAAATGAACCAAATAAAGTGACCCACAAACGTTACAGTCAATCAGTAGAACTGACAACATCCGCTAATTTGTAAAACTACATGTATTCCATCCTGAATCATTAAAATATTAACTACTGCATAAGGCTTGTGTCTAATTCTACCAGTGGAGTTATAGCGAGTGTTCTCAGACAAGTGACGAGGTCTAAGTCATTGTCTATCGTTAAAATCGCCAAAATCTGCAACCTGTTGAATTGCATCTCGTTATCATCGTCATTCCAGTAACCAGTCTCCCTGTTAAAAAATGTACAAAAATATACATCATGTAGTTCATGATATGTAATAAACTATTTTCATGCAACATTCATGTTTTATCAACTATTTAAAACCTTCACAAATATTGTAATATGCCTATTATTTACATGGATTGTCTTTCTGACCTTCATGAAATACCCGGATATTGTCTTATGCATATTATTTACATGGATTGTCTTTCTTACCTTCATGAAATACCCGGATATTGTGTAATGTTTATTATTTACATGGATTGTCTTTCTTACCTTCATAAAATACCCGGATATTGTAATATGCCTATTATTTAAACGGATTTTCTTTCTTACCTTCATGAAATACCCGGATATTGTCGTATGCCTATTATTAACATGGATTGGCATTCTTACCTTCATAAAATACTCGGATATTGTCTTATGCCTATTATTTACATGGAATGTCTTTCTTACCTTCATTAAATACCCGGATATTGTTTTATAATATAAAAATGGAGAATGGAAATGGGGAATGTGTCAAAGAGACAACAACCCGACCATAGAGCAGACAACAGCCGAAGGCCACCAATGGGTCTTCAATGCAGCGAGAAACTCCTTCAGCTGGCCCCTAAACAAATATGTATCCTAGTTCAGTGATAATATACGTCATACTAAACTCCAAATTATACACAGGAAACTAAAATTAAAAATGATACAAGACTAACAAAGGCCAGAGGCTCCTGGCTTGGAACAGGCGCAAAAATGCGGCGGGGTTAAACATGTTTTTGAGATCTCAACCCTTCCCCTATACCTCTAGCCAATGTAATAAAAACAAACGCACAACAGTACGCACAGTAAAACTCAGTATAAGAGAAGTCCGAGTCCGATGTCAGAATAGGAAACAAAAGAAAATAAACAAAATGACAATAATACATAAATAACAACAGACTACTAGCAGTTACTGACATGCCAGCTCCAGACCTCAATTAAACTGATTGAAAGATAATGTCTTCATTATATGAATATCAGACACATCCCTCCTGTTAGGAGTTAAGTATTATACCGTCATAAAATATATGAGAAGAACATAACCCGTGTCATGCCAACAACTTATTCATATGGATTGTCTTTCTTTACATTCTATTTGAATGTTCTGAATATATATTAATAAACCACCATTGTCCCTAGCTAGTGAGTGGTTGATCAAACATATAAACCACCATTGTCCCCAGCTAAAGTGAGGGTTGATCAAACACATAAACCACCATTGTCCCCAGCTAGGATGAGGGTTGATCAAATATATTAACCACCAATGTCCCCAGCTAGGGTGGGGTTGATCAAACATATAAGCCACCATTGTCCCAGCTAAAGTGAGGGTTGGTCAAACATATAAACCACCATTGTCCCCAGCTAGGGTGAGGGTTGATCAAACACATAAACCACCATTGTCCCGAGCTAGGATGAGGGTTGATCAAACATATAAACCACTATTGTCCCCAGCTAGGATGAGGTTTGATTAAACATATAAACCACCATTGTGCTCAGCAAGGGTGAGGGTTGATAATACTGAACTCCCTCTTATTTGTTATGTTTACACAAAATCTACCCAGAAATATGGATTTAATTATAGCGAAGTGTGTAAAGATGTTAATATCAGTGACAATACGCCTACGTCATGAAATTGCTGTAATTCCGAATACATTTATGGCCCCAGTTCCCATGTTATAACAGGAGACCTTAACATCGTTCAAGACCAAGAGTTGATATCATTCCTCAGTAAAGGTCCTAAATATCGTCCCCTTCAATTTTTAATTGAAATGAGTGTCGTAACATCATCCACGACTCACTCCGTACTTACTGCTCGAAATGGATAAAACGAGAAAAAGCTGACAAAAAATCCTTAGATTCTTTTTTTAATTCAGTAAAGAACATAGTTGATATTCGTATTAAACATTTTAAAGAACATTTTACCCCTAACAACAACCATAATATCCTTATTTGTCGTTTCAAACATAAGCTAAAAGAACTCGCCAAGGAATTTGTTTTTGTCCCGGCTGATAAAGCTGCTAATAATATCATTATTGTTTGACGTAAATTTTACATTGAGGTTCTGCAAAAGGAAATCACGAATTCACCAACATTCAAACAGACTCCATTTTCGGCAAATGACATCTGTAACAAACATAAACTTTTAGCTACTTCTTTACAAGCAGAACCAAATACAATGAAAGTTCCAACTATGTACTGGCTTCCCAAGCTGCACAAAACACCTGACAAATATAGATTTATTTCGTCTTCAAGCCATTGTTCCACTACTAAACTGTCTATGCTACTTACTAGTACACTTGCTACAATCAAAAATCTGGTAATAAATTGTTCAAATAAGGCCTTTGAAAATAGTGGAATTAATTACTTTTGGAGTGTTAAAAATTTGTTGGAATTATTTGATAAATTGCATGCTTATATTGGTGATTACGAATCTGTTCAAAGTTTTTATTTTTCTACCCTATACACCACTTTACCTCATAATCTTATTAAGAAAAAATTCACACACCTAATTAAATGGGCATTTAAAAAGTCAGAATGCGAATATATATGTTCTAACTATTTTTGGTCTTTTTTTGTAACAACAGACAAAAGAACAATGTCAATTGGACCTGCTTTGATACGATTACTGCCCTTGAATTTCTACTAGATTACATTTATGTTCGCTATAGAGATTCCGTATATCGTCCAATGGGGACTAACTGAGCACCACTTATTGCGGACCTGTTTCTGTATTGTTACAATGTATGACTAAAATCAGCAAAGACCCATCGAAACAACATCTGATACAAACATTTAATAACACTTTTAGATATTTGGATAATATATATTTGCTCTCAATAATGACGACATCAGTATGTACACTAAAGAGATTTATCCTGCTGAGCTGACTTTAAATAAAGCTAATACTAACAATGAACACTCCCCTTTCCTGGATCTTGATATCTATATTTTTAACAGGAAGCTTAATACCAAAATTTCTGATAAAAGAGATGATTTTTCATTTCATATTGTTAATTATCCATTTTTAGATGGTGACGTTCCCTTCTCACCATCTTATGGTGTTTATATATCTCAACTTGTTCGATTCGCTCGTGTATGTAACAACGCATTTGATTTTAACGAAAGAAACCTCTGTATTACTGAAAACTTATTACACCAGGGTTTTCGATATCACAAACTAGTCAAAACATTTACTAAATTTTATCATCGGTACAAGGACATCATTCGTAAATATAAATCAACATGCAGACATCTTATACGTTCAGGTATTTCACATCCAATCTTTTATGGTAATATTCTATACAAAGCACAAAAATGTCGACATTCAACTCAAAAGCTAACCAAACCTTTAAACAGACTTATTCAGAAAGGATATAGTTAGGATACTGTTGTCAGGTCATTTAAGATGGCATATTTTGGTTTTAATATTGATTCACTCATAGGGTCTTTGCATCGGAAATAAACACATTTATTCTAAAACCAGTTGTTGACGGGTTATGTTCTTTTCATATATTTTATGATCGTATGACATTAAACCCCTAACGGGAGGGATTGTGCATGATTTTCATATGATGAAGACATAATCTTTCAATCAGTTTAATTAAGGTCTGGAGCTGGCATGTCAGTAACTGCTAGTAGTCCTTTGTTAATTTATGTATCATTGTCATTTTGCTTAGTTTCTTTTGTTACCTGTTCTGACATCGGACTCGGACTTCTTTTAAACTGAGTTTTACTGAGCGTATTGCTGTGTGTTTGTTTATTCTACATTGGCTAGAGGTATAGGGGGAGGGGGAGATCTCACAAAACATGTTTAACCCCGCCGCATTTTTGCGCCTCTCCCAAGTCAGGAGCCTCTGTCCCTTGTTAGTCTTGTGTTTTTTTTAATTTTAGTTTATTTATATGTTTTGGAGTTTATTGTGACGTCCATTTTCATTGAACTAGTACACATTTTTTTAGAGGCCAGCTGAAGCCCGCCTCCGGGTGCCGGATTTTTCTCGCTGTGTTGAAGACCCATTGGTGGCCTTCGGCTGTTTTCTGCTCTTTGGTCGGGTTGTTGTCTCTTTGACACATTCCCCATTTCCATTCTCAATTTTACAAAAATGGTTAAACTACGGCAAAACTTAATAAAAAAGTGGAAGGCTTCCTCTTCCTTCTAATTGCAGAAACAACAAAATAAGAGCAACACGAGTTACCAGAAAACTCTATGCTTCCACGGACCTCTTGTTGACCTTCAATAATTTGCGAAAATTGTGCATTAGGGACTTTTTTAAAATAGTATTGTACTTAATTCATATATTTTTAGACTCTCACTGATAAACCGCATGGCCATAGGTTGTCATTACTGCATTGCTAAACTAATTATTATTCTATTGAAATCATATGTTATGCAATATTTGTCCATGAATGTAAGATTATTCACTTTAAACTTGGAAAAGAATTCTTTTAAAAACGTTTATGACAAATAGTTTAGTTATAAGCATTCTTATTGTCAAATTATTTCTATTCATTATGTAAGAATTACTTAGTACAAACACGTTTGTATTCTGTCATCCATTATCTTCTTTTGTTAATCTTTAAGTGCTAATTGTATGTTTTTAATTGTTAATCAATAACCTCGTTTCTATTATGAAATTCTAACCTAGCAAAAGTCTTTTTTTGTTTTTATTCAACAACAATATTGCACACGCTGTTAACAAAATTCTTAATTTAAATATGTTTTCTTAAGTCCTTATTTTAATGAGAGTCATGAAACGAAGCCGGGGTACTGTCTATGAACCCTTAACAGGACTTTTTATCTATTAGACAGCAACCCAACAACATTTCTTTTAGTTTAAATCTAGGGTAGGGTTCGGCCCATGCTTTCGCTTTAGGACTTTACAAATATAATAATGCCCGTCTTTAGAATATTTTAACTTTTTATAGGTATATAATTCACCGGTTTATGCCACCAGTTTATAAATGTTTTAAACCTGTGTGATCAAGATATAATATATCTGATGGTAATTATACCCAGACCTCCACTGTCATAAGTAGCTTCTAGGACCTTATTCAAACAGTTGATAAATAGTGACTAGTCTGCTCTTACGACTAACTAGATGCTAACCTTTGACTTTGACAACAGTACAGTCAGATTTTCATAGAATCCGACTATTTAAACCAACATGTGAACAAGTCTGGTTCACGTCTATCACGAGGAAGGATAGGACCTGGCGGTGTACTAATAAAAGGTTGTCGATGGTATTCAATGAATTTACAGGAGGATTCACAAATTCATGTGTTCTGGCAGAAGTTCAGTAAATTACTTATCTCATCAGTATCATACCTCAAGCATCAAGCTGCATCTCGAATGTAATATTTCTCAGTATATTTAATATTAACCCAATTATGAAGAACAATCTCAATCCAACTCTGAAGTCAATTTCAGAGTGACCGCTACTATATGTGATTAAGTCTAGGGTCAAACAATGAATAAAGGTTCAACAGACAGACAAACAAAATGTATCTAGCCCGACCTGATAAGAGTGGTCGTTTCAAGCACGGGACAACAAACGTAAAGTCAGACTTTTCGAAAACTTATTCTCAGTTTCAATAGATATAAGAAGATGCGATATGAGTGCCAAAGAGACAACTCTCCATCCAAGTCACAATCTGTAAAAATAAACCATTACATCAAGACCAGTAAATTAACAAGATTACCAAATATTCAAATAATAATAACCAGCGTGTAAATCAGTGAAGGATTAACTAAAGTAGTCTTGTTCTGTCCTGAAAATGCTTATACGCAAACTATCTGTGACAGGAAAGACAGAAAAACCATTCAGCAACTCAAACTGACCTACCAAAAGTTCAGAATAGACGGGTACCAAATATCAAATCATGAAAGTTGATTCAAGGGTAACGGGATATTCTCAAAGCAATTTCCTGTACCAAGGGGGTAAGAAGGGGTAATTTTAATCACAAAACTTAGCTCAGGGCAGGGACAAGGATTTTATCTGTAATAAAATAATTCAGTGAAGTACAACTTGACTTTTATTAAACAACACACAATCGTTAGTAGACAATATTATTCAACTGCGTCTCTAGTATATGTATGATTTTGTAATTCAATGGTCTCTAATTCAGCAATGTCTCTATATTTCTTAGACCACAAAGTGGTTTTACAACTATAATTTTCTCTAACGACTCATTCTGCCATTCTGCCCAGGGTTTGCATTTTAATCTCGCTTTACGTTTTAACACTTTAAATTTCTGTCTTGAAGTTCAAGTCATAGATTTAAGACACGTACGAAAATGTCAACAAATAATGACCCCGAACCTTATTTTTTTTCAAGCAATCTATAAAGAGCTTTAACCTAAACAACTGATGAATCTCGATATTCGCTAACTGAAAACATTTATTCAGTTCAAAGAACTCTTCAAAACTTAGCTCATAATTTAACTCAATTAACCCGCGAATCGCCTTCTAAATAAACTACGTCTCAATACGTAAATATTCAAAGTCTTCGCTAAAATATTTTAAGCAAACCCTGACTAAAACTAGCCAGTTTTAGTCAATTCAAAATATACATCAAATTGGAGGGGGAATTCTTACCTAGAAAATGTCGAAATACACATCATCTTAAATACCCTTGATAAAACACAAAAATAGCGCCGAGACCACTTTAAAAAAATCGCGCACATGGTGGAAAGTTCCCTCTTTACCTATACGTCCACACTTGAGCATCTGAGCTGGGAATGATTTCCGGAAGACAATCACTGCACGAGCTAAATTTTCCCGGGAACTTAATCGAGCGCTCTTATTGGTTGAGAAGGGAAACATATTTTGAATATAATGACTAATGCGAGGTTTGTTACGTCACTAAAATTTATGAATGAAAATTTCAGAAAGAAACAAAATAATAATGATCAATCTTTCAGAAAACAATTAAAATTACTAATAATGAAAGAAATAAATGAACCAAATAAAGTGACCCGCAAACGTTACAGTCAATCAGTAGAACTGACAACATCCGCTAATTTGTAAAACTACATGTATTCCATCCTGAATCATTGAAATGTTAACTACTGCATAAGGCTTGTGTCTAATTCTACCAGTGGAGTTATAGCGAGTGTTCTTAGACAAGTGACGAGATCTAAGTCATTGTCTATCGTTAAAATCGCCAAAATCTGCAACCTGTTGAATTGCATCTCGTTATCATCGTCATTCCAGTAACCATTCTCCCTGTTAAAAAATGTACAAAAATATACATCATGTAGTTCATGATACGTAATAAACTATTTTCATGTAACATTAATGTTTTATCAACTATTTAAAACCTTCACAAAATATCCGGATATTGTAATATGCCTATTATTTACTTGGATTGTCTTTCTGACCTTCATGAAATACCCCGATATTGTCTTATGCATATTATTAACATGGATTGTCTTTCTTACCTTCATAAAATACTCAAATATTGTGTTATTCCTATTATTTAAAGGATTGTTTTTCTTACCTTCATGAAATACCCGGATATTGTCTTATGCCTATTATTCATATGGATTGTCTTTCTTTACATTCTATTTGAATGTTCTGAATATATATTAATAAACCACCATTGTCCCTAGCTAGTGTGGGGTTGATCAAACATATAAACCACCATTGTCCCAATCTAGGGTGAGGGTTGATCAAACATATAAACCACCATTTTCCACAGCTAGGGTGAGGGTTGATCAAACATATCAACCACCATTGTCCCCAGCTAGGGTGAGGGTTGATCAAACATATAAACCACCACTGTATCCAGCTAGGGTGAGGGTTGATCAAACATATCAACCACCATTGTCCCCAGCTAGGGTGAGGGTTGATCAAACATAAACAATCATTGTCCCCAGCTAGGGTGAGGGTTGATCAAACATATAAACCACCATTGTCCCCAGCTAGGGTGGGGGTTGATCAAACATATAAACCACCATTGTCCCTAGCTAGGGTGATGGTTGATCAAACATATAAACCACCATTGTCCCCAGCTAGTGTGAGGGTTGATCAAACATATAAACCACTATTGTCCCTAGCTAGGGTGGGGTTGATCAAACATATAAACCACCATTGTCCCCAGCTAGGGTGAGGGTTGATCAAACATATAAACCACCATTTTCCCCAGCTAGGGTGACGGTTGATCAAACATATCAACCACCATTTTACCTAGCTAGGGTGAGAGTTGATCAAACATATAAACCACCATTGTCCCCAGCTAGTGTGAGGGTTGACCAAACATATAAACCACCATTGTCCCCAGCTAGGTTGAGGGTTGATCAAACATATAAACCACCATTTTCCCCAGCTAGGGTGAGGGTTGATCAAACATATAAACCACCATTGTCCCCAGCTAGGGTGAGGGTTGATCAAACATATAAACCACCATTGTCCCTAGCTAGGGTGAGGGTTGATCAAACATATCAACCACCATTGTCCCTAGCTAGGGTGAGGGTTGATCAAACATATAAACCACCATTGTCCCTAGCTAGGGTGAGGGTTGATCAAACATATAAACCACCATTGTCCCCAGCTAGGGTGAGGATTGATCAAACATATAAACCACAATTGTCCCAAGCTAGGGTGAGGGTTGATCAAACATATAAACCACCATTGTCCCCAGCTACAGTGAGGGTTGATCAAACATATCAACCACCATTGTCCCTAGCTAGGGTGAGGGTTGATCAAATATATAAACCACCATTGTCCCCAGCTAGGGTGAGGATTGACCAAACATATAAACCACCATTGTCCCCAGCTAGGGTGAGGATTGATCAAACATATAAACCACCATTGTCCCAAGCTAGGGTGAGGGTTGATCAAACATATAAACCACCATTGTCCCCAGCTATGGTGAGGATTGATCAAACATATCAACCACCATTGTCCCCAGCTAGGGTGAAGGGTTGATCAAACATATCAACCACCACTGTCCCCAGCTAGGGTGAGGGTTGATCAAACATATAAACCACCATTGTCCCTAGCTAGGGTGAGGGTTGATCAAACATATATACCACCATTTTCCCCAGCTAGGGTGAGGGTTGATCAAACATATAAACCACCATTGTCCCTAGCTAGGGTGAGGGTTGATCAAACATATAAACCACCATTGTCCCCAGCTAGGGTGAGGATTGATCAAACATATAAACCACCATTGTCCCAAGCTAGGGTGAGGGTTGATCAAACATATAAACCACCATTGTCCCCAGCTACAGTGAGGGTTGATCAAACATATCAACCACCATTGTCCCTAGCTAGGGTGAGGGTTGATCAAATATATAAACCACCATTGTCCCCAGCTAGGGTGAGGATTGATCAAACATATAAACCACCATTGTCCCAAGCTAGGGTGAGGGTTGATCAAACATATAAACCACCATTGTCCCCAACTATGGTGAGGATTGATCAAACATATCAACCACCATTGTCCCCAGCTAGGGTGAGGGTTGATCAAACATATAAGCCACCATTGTCCCCAGCTTAAGTGAGGGTTGATCAAACATATAAACCACCATTGTCCCAAGCTAGGATGAGGGTTGATCACACATTTAAACCACCATTGTCCCAAGCAAGGGTGAGGGTTGATCAAACATATAAACCACCATTGTCCCCAGCTATGGTGAGGATTGATCAAACATATCAACCACCATTGTCCCCAGCTAGGGTGAGGATTGATCAAACATATATACCACCATTGTCCCCAGCTAGGGTGAGGGTTGATCAAACATATAAACCACCATTGTCCCCAGCTAGGTTGAGGGTTGATCAAACATATAAGCCACCATTGTCCCCAGCTTAAGTGAGGGTTGATCAAACATATAAACCACCATTGTCCCAAGCTAGGATGAGGGTTGATCAAACATATAAACCACCATTGTCCCAAGCTAGGGTGAGGGTTGATCAAACATATAAACCACCATTGTCCCCAGCTAGTGTGAGGGTTGACCAAACATATAAACCACCATTATCCCCAGCTAGGGTGATGGTTGATCAAACATATAAACCACCATTGTCCCCAGCTAGGGTGAGGGTTAATCAAACATATAAACCACCATTGTCCCTAGCTAGGGTGAGGGTTGATCAAACATATAAACCACCATTGTCCCCAGCTACAGTGAGGGTTGATCAAACATATCAACCACCATTTTCCCCAGCTAGGGTGATGGTTGATCAAACATATAAACCACCATTGTCCCTAGCTAGGGTGAGGGTTGATCAACCATATAAACCACCATTGTCCCCAGCTAGGGTGAGGATTGATGAAACATATAAACCACCATTGTCCCAAGCTAGGGTGAGGGTTGATCAAACATATAAACCACCATTGTCCCCAGCTACAGTGAGGGTTGATCAAACATATCAACCACCATTGTCCCTAGCTAGGGTGAGGGTTGATCAAATATATAAACCACCACTGTCCCCAGCTAGGGTGAGGATTGATCAAACATATAAACCACCATTGTCCCAAGCTAGGGTGATGGTTGATCAAACATATAAACCACCATTGTCCCCAGCTATGGTGAGGATTGATCAAACATATCAACCACCATTGTCCCCAGCTAGGGTGAGGATTGATCAAACATATATACCACCATTGTCCCCAGCTAGGGTGAGGGTTGATCAAACATATCAACCACCACTGTCCCCAGCTAGGTTGAGGGTTGATCAAACATATAAGCCACCATTGTCCCCAGCTTAAGTGAGGGTTGATCAAACATATAAACCACCATTGTCCCAAGCTAGGGTGATGGTTGATCAAACATATAAGCCACCATTGTCCCCAGCTTAAGTGAGGGTTGATCAAACATATAAACCACCATTGTCCCAAGCTAGGGTGAGGGTTGATTAAACATATAAACCACCATTGTCCCCAGCTAGGGTGAGGATTGATCAAACATATAAACCACCATTGTCCCTAGCTAGGGTGAGGGTTGATCAAACATATAAACCACCATTGTCCCAGCTAGTGTGAGGGTTGATCAAACATATAAACCACCATTGTCCCTAGCTAGGGTGGGGTTGATCAAACATATAAACCACCATTGTCCCCAGCTAGGGTGAGGGTTGATCAAACATATAAACCACCATTGTCCCCAGCTAGGGTGAGGGTTGATCAAACATATAAACCACCATTGTCCCCAGCTACAGTGAGGGTTGATCAAACATATCAACCACCATTGTCCCTAGCTAGGGTGAGGGTTGATCAAATATATAAACCACCATTGTCCCCAGCTAGGGTGAGGATTGATCAAACATATAAACCACCATTGTCCCAAGCTAGGGTGATGGTTGATCAAACATATAAACCACCATTGTCCCCAGCTATGGTGAGGATTGATCAAACATATCAACCACCATTGTCCCCAGCTAGGGTGAGGATTGATCAAACATATATACCACCATTGTCCCCAGCTAGGGTGAGGGTTGATCAAACATATTAACCACCACTGTCCCCAGCTAGGTTGAGGGTTGATCAAACATATAAGCCACCATTGTCCCCAGCTTAAGTGAGGGTTGATCAAACATATAAACCACCATTGTCCCAAGCTAGGGTGATGGTTGATCAAACATATAAGCCACCATTGTCCCCAGCTTAAGTGAGGGTTGATCAAACATATAAACCACCATTGTCCCAAGCTAGGGTGAGGGTTGATTAAACATATAAACCACCATTGTCCCCAGCTAGGGTGAGGATTGATCAAACATATAAACCACCATTGTCCCTAGCTAGGGTGAGGGTTGATCAAACATATAAACCACCATTGTCCCAGCTAGTGTGAGGGTTGATCAAACATATAAACCACCATTGTCCCTAGCTAGGGTGGGGTTGATCAAACATATAAACCACCATTGTCCCCAGCTAGGGTGAGGGTTGATCAAACATATAAACCACCATTGTCCCCAGCTAGGGTGAGGGTTGATCAAACATATCAACCACCATTTTCCCTAGCTAGGGTGAGAGTTGATCAAACATATCAACCACCATTGTCCCCAGCTAGGGTGAGGGTTGATCAAACATATCAACCACCATTTTCCCTAGCTAGGGTGAGAGTTGATCAAACATATAAACCACCATTGTCCCTAGCTAGGGTGAGGGTTGATCAAACATATAAACCACCATTGTCCCCAGCTACAGTGAGGGTTGATCAAACATATCAACCACCATTTTCCCCAGCTAGGGTTAGGGTTGATCAAACATATA